TGTCTTCTTGAGCTGCCCTTTGACATTTTCTATTCGGCTCCTGGACTTGATCCTTTCTTTAATCTTAAACTCAATAAATCACATGGTCATATCTGACCTCTGGCTAGCCAAAGAAGAAAAACTACCATGAGGCAAAGGTCAAACATACATCCACTCTCCATTTTTATGATTTGTTTCATTAGTACGCCACTCCCAAGGTACCATAATGTATTAGTCTGGGTAGACTAGAGAAACAAATGCATACAGAAACTCATATATGTATCAGAAAAGCTTTATATACGAGAACAATTGAATATTGAGAAAACATCCCAGCCCAGTCCAGATCAAGTCCGTAAGTCTGATATTAGCCCTTATGTCTAATACCAATCTATGAATTCCTCTTCAGACTCACAAAACACATGCAATGACACTGAATGCAAGAATATCACAAGGCAGTGGATGGAAAGTCTTGTGGACCTGTGTCCTGCCTCCAGCAAGCTATTTATCTCCTTAGCACCTCCAAATGAGGTCATCAAGCTGTGACCTCATAGGCTAAACTCCACCCCTTCATTCTTCAGTCTCAAATTGACAACAGATTATGTAACTACCACAAGAGGGAATTCTTAAAATGTCCACAGTACTCCTACATAAAGAATTTAAAGTAAGATTTAATCAATTTAGGAGCTGTTTCTTCATTGGTTCAGTTGTAATTCATGAGCCCTATCACCTTTCAGAGGATAGAAATCTTGATTCCCTCTAAGGCAGTGGTTCTCAACCTTCCTAATGCCGCGGCCCTTTAATACAGTTCCTCATGTTGTTTTGACCCCCAACCATAAAATAATTTTCATTGTTACTTCATAACTGTAATTTTGCTACTGTTATGAATCTGGCGACTCCCGTGATAGGCTCATTCGATCCCTAACAGGGTCACGACCCATAGGTTGAGAACTGCTGGTGTTTTAAATTCTGGGAATTAGTCCTTTCTACATATCCAGTACAAGTCTCTCCTTGTAAAAAATTTTGAAATGTCTTCGCAGGTCCAAAAAGCAATGCTTATCTGTTGATAACAAAAATTGATATGGCCATGGTTAAACAATTTGGGTGGTGGTGTGTGTGTATATGTGTGTGTAAGGCTTGAATGGAGAATTCTTGACCAATGCAAAGCCAACCAGATCAATTAAAGGTCAGAACTAATTTCAGACCACAGGAACACTTTTAAAGTTTGAGAGTTTCGCATATAACAAACTTAAATGATCAATCCTTCTGTCCTCGGGTGCATAATTAAGAAATTATGGGAATAATGGGTAATCTTTCCTCAACTTTACAACTGACCAAATGTACTTAATATAATTGACATTTACTTGAACTTTTCATCATTATAAACTAGCCATGAGGGAGGCTTTAGGTTTACTTAACCCGTTTAAAAGGCAATGATCTCATTACTATTTTAGTAGTGTATAGAGTTTATAATCATTGCTTAATATCTTGTGGAAGATTGCAATTCGAGGTTTGAATATTTTTCTTAAGAGTTCTTTCAGTTTCAGATATACTCTGCATGTTCTTCCCTTTCAGTGTTTCTTAAATTCAATTTTTTTTAAATTAAAGTTCATTTTATTGGGGACTCTTACAGCTCGTTTAACAATCCATACATCAATTGTATCAAGCATATTTGTACATATGTTTCCATCATTCTTTAAATTAAAGTTCATTTTATTGGGGACTCTTACAGCTCTTATAACAATCCATACATCAATTGTATCAAGCATATTTGTACATATGTTTCCATCATTCTTTTCTAAACATTTGCTCTATTGAGCCCCTGGTATCAGCTCTTCCCCATCCACCACCCCACCTCATGCCCCCTTGATAAATTATTTTCATGTCTTACACTGACCAGTCTCCCTTCCCCCACAACTTGTTTTTCATCCCCCTTGGGGAGTTGTAGTGTCCATCACTGCAATAGATTCCCCCTTCCTCCCCTTCCCTCTACCCTCCTAGTATTGCTATTCCCATTCCTGGTCCTTGCACATTTCATTATATTTGGCTTTGTCTTCCTGAGCTGCCCTTTGAAATTTTCTATTCAGCTCCTTGACTTCATCCTTTCTTTAATCTTAAAGAGCAGGTGTCAGTCTCTTCTTACATCCACTTTGATCTTTTCTTTTCTGTCTTTTTAAAGAGATTTTGCTTTCTTCATGAATGATGGTATTGATGTGCTCCCACAGCTCATCGGGTCTTTTTAAAAATCATTTTATTGGGGGCCTATTTATAGCAATCCATACACCCACTGTGTAAAGAACAATTGTACATATGTTGCCATCATCCTTTTCAAAACATTTTCTACTTCAGCTCATTTTTTTCTCCCTCCCTCCCTCATGAACGCTTGATAATTTATAAACTCTGAAACTCATATCTTACACTGACTGCTGTGTCCTTTCACCCACGTTTCTGTTGATCAGCCCCCTTCGTGGGGTGTGTGTGTTATGTCAATCATTGTGATCGGCTCCCCTTCTCCCCCAACCTTCACCCTACCCTCATGGTATCATTATTCCTATTATTGTTCCTAAGGGGTTTATCTGTTCTGGATTCGGTGTGTCAAGAGCTCTTATCTCCACCCGCGTACATGCAGCAGTCTAGCTGAATTTGTGAGGTAGAACGGGGGTTGTGACAGTGGCAGGAAGGAAGCACTAAAGAACTAGAGAAATGTGTTTCATTGTTGTTATACTGCAGCCTGGCTGGCTCGTCCCTTCCTTGCGACCCTTCTATGAGGGATGTCCAATTGTCTAAACATGGGCTTTGTCTCAACTCTGCCCCACCCCAATCGCATCGATATGATTGTTTGTTCTGGTTCTTCTCATGCCTAATTTCTGATCCCATCAACACCTCATGACCACACAGGCTGTTGTGCTTCTTCCATGTGGGCTATGTTGCTTCCCAGCTAGATGGTCTCATATGGTCTTCTGTCATTAGTGTACAATGTGTCAAATCTGTTCTTAAGATGTTCTCAATATTCATGAGGAATTGCCTCAAGGTCATATTTTAGCTCCTGAGAACTTACAATTTTCTTCAGCTTTACCCTGAACTTATATATGAGCACTTATGATTAGTTCCATAGTGGACACGATAAGGTTTTAGCTGTTGATACTGAGCTTCTCCATGTTGTCTTACCACAGATGTAATCGATTTGCTTCCTGTGTATTCCATCTGGGGAAGTCCATGTGTACAGCTGCCTTTTGCATTGTTGGAAAAAGGTATTTGCTATGAACAAGTTGTTGTGATCTCCAGCTTCATTTCTATCACCAAGTCCATTAGTTCCCAACTGGGTTCTTCCTGTATTTTCAACTTTTGCATTCCAATCACCAATAATTATCAATACATCTTGAATGCCATGTTTGCATAATATATGGAGGGCTTTATAACGTCTTATGCAGGTTTTCAAATCTTTTTAAGTGTTTGAATTTTTATTTATTGTGCTGCCTATTTGAAACTTTTATAAAATTTTTTATTGTATAGTTCTAAAACTGATAAGTCTTCTGATCTTTAATCCATTGTCACTTATTACCAATTTTTTTTATGTTTATAGATTTATCTTGTCCTCGGATTCATTTTTATCCCACCCCCAATTTCAAGGTCATAAAAATAGGTGTGTTTTCTCTTATAAAAGCCCTATGATTTCTCACCTTTCACATTTGTGTGACATATACCTGGAACTGTTATTTATCTTTAAGAAATCATGGGCCATTTTCTTCTCCCACACCCCTTTGTTCATACATGATCATTTCTTCCAGCACTATTTTCTAGAATTCCTCTTTCTTTCATCTATGATAAATTTTCATATGCTTATGACTCTGCATCTAGGCTTTTAGATTTTGTTAATCAATTTATATATACCTATGCTAACAGTAAAGATATCAAATGATACATTGATTGGGTAAATGAGCAGCACCATTACACCACCAGGGCTCCCTGCTGCAGCTTTATCACGCAGTGGTATGCACTGGGCTGTGATATATATGGTCAACAGTTCAAAACAACAAGCAGCTTCAGGGAAAAAAGACAAGGCTTTCTACTCCTATAAACAGTTACAGTCTCAGAAGCCCAAAAGTGGTCACCACGAGTCAGCACTGACTTGATGACAGCAAGTAGAAAAGTATAATGTTTCAACAAAAAGCAAGATCATTATACACACACCGAAGTTACCCTAAGAGAAAAGGTTTAGAAGAGATTGGGAGGGCACACAGATCACAGTAATGCTGTTTTTCCTCACACCTACTACTAGGTCCATGGTGTTCTTATTATTTGTACTTTGCTTGTTTACATAAATATCCTTTCAGGTCTACTAATATTTAATAATTAATTTAAAAAACTATTTATAGATGTTAATTATGAAAAGGAAGTGAGATGCCCAAATATAGACTATATACCAAAATTTAGGCTATATACACCTAAGTGGATTGAGACCATCCAAGTTTAAAAGAAAAAGCCAGGCCATCAAAGAATGATAGTAATTACATATAGCTGTTCACTTAATAAATTTGATGCAACAGGCTTTGCTACACTTTTATCAGCTGAGACAGAAGGCAAAACTTAAACTTTGTCTTTATATTTACCCATATTTATATAGTTTTTCATTAATATTAAGACCAAGTACCTCAACCAATAAGCAAGATTAATAGAAATTACCATCTTGCTAGCAGCTATGGTGATGCGGGCAGCTCCTTGGGACTCAACTGTTACTGTACGCTATTTCAGGGTATAGGACTTGAGCAACCTCTTCAGACCTACTTTCTCATCTGCAAAATAAAGACCTAGATGTTTTCAATTGTTTTACCTGACTGTAAAATTTCAAAATTTTACTATCATTTTCATTTAATTATACTGCACTTTTATTTGCTATTTCTCAACCCATAAAGCATAATTTCCTATGCTTAAGTAAACATGGAATCACTAAAATTAAACAAGTCCAAAATATTTTTAGTTTTCTACTCTATCGCCCGCCACCAATAGATAAAAAGGCTTTCACGTGAATTTTCATTTTCACTTCTTTATTTAAAGTCAATAGTCATAACTGTAAAATGAATACATTGAAAAACACAAGATATATTTCAATGACCCAAAAATGCAATCATCATTCATATCGACCGTACATTTCAATTTGCAGAAGTCAACAGAATGGAAGATGACATCAAATATCAACCTTCAAAAACACCCTAACCCCTACAGAGTAAAGTCATCACTGACGGATGCTCGTTTGTATCGCAAGAAACCTGTTCTAATACAAAAAGTGGGGAGCAGGAGTGGGCAGGTAAGTTTCCTCAGGTTTCTAAATAAATATACGTGGGTAACAGAAATTGAAAATAAACTTCAAAAGCATTTAAATTAAAATAACATTTATAATAGATGGTCACTGTTAAAAACAACTGAAACAATGACTTTATCTTTTCTCAGTAGAAATGAGACAGAGCATCTCTCCACAGTAATGGCTTATTAAATCATCTAAGACATGTGTGGTGACCCCCTACACCGCAGCATTGATACAACTCTTTCTCATGAATTTATTTTTCACATTCCTAAAATATCCTCATTTACTTAGAATACTTGATGCTTAGAATATTTCAAACACTTGTTTTTTTAAATACTTGTTTTTATGTGTGGAATTACTAGAGTTGAGAGCTTTAAAATAACCCATTTATTACAAGTATTTGAATTTTGCAGAGAACACTCCTTTCACGGTACATTGGGCTTCCATAAGCTAATCTTATCAACTATTGTAACAGTGATGCTGGTGGTCATAAGTGATATTTTATATTTTTTCCTCTTAAAATATATATAAATGATGTAACAAAATATATATAACTGATGTAACTAAGTAGTAAATAAGTTACAGTGTTCATTTTATTTTTCTACAAGGAATGACTGTTTTCAGGGTTTACCTTGAAAAGCAAAAATAAAAGCAGACTAATTATAGCATTAACTAACAATTTAACTACTGCTAAGTTAAAAATCAAAATTCAAATGATAAAGAGTGGACGTGTTATTAAGCAAAAAATGAAAACCAGTGTAATTTTACCAAAAGAAACTTAAGAAAACATGGGAAGAAGTTAAACGAGCACAATGCAGGTCCCAAAAATTACATTATGATTCTGAATTGATATTCAAACAAAAACACTGTCTACATAAAATTCTTATGAATATTTCTTATACTATGAAAAGATGAATTTCTGAAGTAATGGCAACCACTCAACGATCATGTAAAAAGTGAGGATTCTGATGAAACAGAAGTTTCATTTGCTAATATCTATCTGCTGGATGAATCTGCTGGGCCCTGCTACTTACAACTGTCCACAGTAGCAGCAGCAACTCATGCTTCCCACTGTCAGTATGTGCTAGAAAGAGGGGAACGTTTGAAAAAAATCCTAAAGATCCCATCTTTTCAAACTCCAGAGTAAGATAATTTCATTATTTAAAAACACTGAAAATTTAAAGGTTCATACAAAGTGAGAGTTTTACGAAGTATATACTTTTCCTTTAACATTCACTTGATGTGCTCTTAAAATCTCTATGAGAGAAGCAGTTATTTCCCCATATCTTTTGGCAACAGGTTTAAAAGCAAAAGTAGCAGGGCTGTTGAATTCCATGAAGTTTGCATTTTTTTTAAAAGCTAAATTATTCAGTATCTGTATTGCTATTGCACTCATATATTGCCCGGAATACATCTATTAGCAACACAGCAATAGTGATTGCAACAAAAATTAAGGTAAATAGGTCTACAAAGTGTTTGATTTCCTTAATAGATAAGAAAGTTTTTCTAGAGGAAATGCAAACAACTATAACTTAGATTACATATGTTTATCAATTAACCTTATATGTCACCACTACATATTTGTAGGGAATCAGAAAAAGATTTACAATACACAAAGTCTTGACTATTGCAATCCACTTTGAAGTCACTCAGTTAAAACAGCATTTTCCCAAGATTTAAAGAAAAATAGATTTTATAAAAGGGACTCTTTTTAATCACTTAATACATCATTTTTGTTACTATGACAAAAACAAGTTATACCTTTTTCCACTATAATTTTCTCTGATGAAAGAAATATTCTCTTTTTAATTCCTAACAAATGCTACATTTTCAGAGTAGAGAACTATCAATAGACATTCCTCCTCGGTTTAAGTTATTTTTCTCTAAAATAGGTCAAGTAAGCTTTTAGAGATTCAGGAAGAGGCAGCTTCATGATTTTTTCTCTCAGGAGATTTTGAGGAGGCTCTTCTGGCTTCATGGCTTCACTGTGATCTTTCTCCTCCTCCTCCCTGCTGTCTTCTTCCATTTTTTCATCTTCCTCCCTATTTGGAAGCCGAGGAAAGAACTGATTACCCACAAACACGTAAGAGTTGGAGTTAACAATCTGTTTAACTCTCTTCCTTTTCCTTTTTGGGAGAGCTCTGGGCGGAAGTCCCTTGGCTTTTATCTCGTCATTGATGAAATTTCTAAGTGTGCGGCGGATGTAAATGCGAGCCAAATCCTGTAGGTTCCTGACAGCACATGGAGCTAAATGGGGGGAAAAAATAATAATTATATTTGCTCACTTCTTCAAAAGATAAAATATTAATTTCCCTGAAAACATAGGAAAATATAAACAGTAGTGTTCATATTGAATTTTACCTGAACTCAAGTGATACTAGAAAACAGGAGTCTCAAAAAAAAAAAAGAATGAAAAGAGGGGGCGGGAGGGAAAAAGAGGAGCTGACACCAGGGGCTCCAGTAGAAAGAAATGTTTAGAAAATGATGATGGAATATATGTACAAATATGCTTGATACAATTGATGTATGAATTGTTATAAGAACTTTAAGAACGTCCAATAAAATGATCTTAAAAAAAAAAAAACCCAAATCCCAGAAGCCTCTAGGAAATCGCCTCAGCCTGTGTATTCAGAAAAAAGCCTGCTGCAAATGACCGCCCTGCCACAGATGGGCAGACTTCCTTGTTTTCCTAAGACAAGATCAGGACAAAATAACCGAATTCCTATCCCTTACATCTTAAATGAATAAGTAAGCTGCTTGTCCC